CTCTGACACAGACTCAAGTGAAGGGGTATCTGCTGCTGTCAGGTAGGGGTTTGTGAAGATGCAAGCAAAGATTGTGAAGTTACCCCTCAGCCTTAGTGTTAAACAGTGCTGTCAGTGTCTGCTCAAATGAAATCAAAGGCAACTGCAGCTGCTCAGAACAGATGTAAATTAGAGCACCACAATAGCATTTTCCCCAGTACATCCAATTATTGCTGAAGGAAATACATGGGAGACAACAATGTCTGGCAGAGAGAGGACTTTACAGGGAGTAAAAAGAATCCTGGACCACACTCACAACAGTTTGCATGTAACACGGCAGCTCAACTTGACAGATGCAGGTAAGAAAGAATTAAATTTTCATTCGCCTATACTGTCACAGAGAGATAATCTTATCAATAAAGTGACTTAAGTAGCAGCAGTGCCTCATTGGGGTCATAATTGTTTCATTCAATGATACTGAGAAAAGGTTTTGCACTRCATTACTGTAGTCCAAACATACTCAGCTCATCTTTCAACCACTGGCATGTCTAGGGCTCTCTTCCTTCCCCATCCAACTAAACTAGGTAAGTCAAACCCTATTTTACTACATTACACAATTCAAGGTATGTCTCCATTAGGGCAACTGCCAGTATAGGGAGAAAACCCTTTGACTCCATTACACCATAATATTATACTGGCAAAAATAGTCAAGGTTATACCTGGTAGGAAACAGCTGCCACTTGTGGGAAGCTACTCAAGCTACTCATGTAAGCTCTGTCAGCAAGAGCCAGAACTTCATTCTTGAACACTTGGGATCCCTGAAGTATGATGCATGCAGTGAATGTTACCCCCGCTTTTATAAAATAAACACATCAAGCAAGGAAGAGGGAAAAGAACAGAAAAAATACTTGCTTACCACAAGTCCTAGCACAAGGGTACGCACTCTCTCCCCAATCTCTGGTGAAATGTCATTGCCAAACTGCTGTAAGGTTGTAAGAAATCTCTTCAGTTTGCTGAGCTGCCTAGCTCCACAAGCTGGCGGTAACTGCTGGTTAGCCAGAGAAGAGGAAGAGGAAGAGGATGGCCCATTGCTAAAGCCATTAGGAGGAGATGGAGCTCCATTTAACGCTGTTGGTGAATGGCTAGTGCCATTGGTTACTGAAAGAAAAAGAGATGGGAGAATAAAATAAAGATTGGGGTTGGGGGACAGACAGAGAGAAAAAGGAGACAGCGGGGAAAATCCATCRGCTTATGTTTTCTGCACTTGACCTCAAAATTAATTAAGTTGCACAATCAAAGATAATTAGCCTTTAGACAGAGCTACAGTCTGCAGTTTATATCTATTTCCCAGTAGCTGGTGCTGAATGTTGTAAGGATTGGAAATAACATCAGCTACCTCTCCCACGGCCCCTTCAAAATGCTCCCAGACCTGAAAAGCATCATTTGAATGCCAGCCTTTGTCAGAGAATTTTTAAAAGAGAGGGAAATGGAGAGAGAAAAAGCATGAGTGCATCTATGATTGAAGACCAAAAAAAATTGCTCTTTGGGGTAGAAAAAAACATGCAGACATATTTCATGAAACCTCAGTTTATCTCTGAATATTTTTACTTGTGTTTTGTACACACAACTGACAGCTGTGTTTATAAAACAGGACTTTCACGTTTTAACCTTACACCACCCAATGAGAAGGTTATTTTTTCCAATACAGATTTCCTAGCTGCTAACATATGGAGCACACAAAGTTGTTTGTGCAGGTACAAATGTTGCCAATGCTCCCTGTGGCCTGAAACCTTGCAGCAAGAGCATGAAGCTAGACTTCAGAAGACTTCTCAAGAGACCATGAGCAAATCTCTCTGCTTTTATATGCCAGCAGTGTATCTCTAAAAACACAGCATTTCCCYCCCATTGCAAGGCTGCTGTGAGAATAACTATCTGAGGTACTAAGCATTCAAAATTCATGGCAGCGAAATCCATGTAGACACGCTGAAGACAACAGAGAGTTTTTGGCAGTGATTTCAGTTTGATTCTTATCTACACTCTGGAAGAGAGCAGACAATCAGACTGAGGACATCCTTTTTCACTCAGGTTAGCTGGAACAGCAGCACTCACACACCGTTGACGTTGTTGGAGTCTGATTTGCTACAATGACAGCAAACAGCAAGAAAAAGGATGGCTCCCTAGAAATACAACAGCACCAGGGCACTGGAAGGCGTAGACACACAGCATGTGACTGTACCCAACAGCAGCTGCACTCAGCTGGCCACTGCCCTGGAGAAATTTGCTGATTTCTTTTTGGGGAGTCAATCAGAACCCATCAACATCAAAAATCAGAAACCTGTCTACAATCAAAAATGCATAAGAATATTAGTCTCACTTAYTTCCTATTTAAAAGCACAACCAAGCAGGCTAGCAACTTTAAAAACTTTTAGTGTTTCTCAATGACCAGCCTCTCTGAAGCCAAACATTCCATTCTTATGTMATTTTCTTCATCCGTCATCCTTATTTTTAGGCAGGAAATCATTTTTCATGGTGGACACCTACTACTAGATATAAATCCCTACGCCATTACCATATTTCAATCACTGCCACAAACCTTTGAAGGAGTTTTTGTTGCCCCAGTCACTGCCTTCTAGAGGCACTACGAAAAAGGCTATGTGAATTGTTATCTGGCCTCTGCTTTATCCCAGTTTTTGGTTGCCTATTCTGGTTGCGTGGGCTAGTGAGAACAAGAATTGGAAAAAGCAGAAATAGAGAGAAGCTGGCTTCAGCAAGTTCAGCTCCCTGTGCAGCTCCAGGCCATGCTCTGAGTGCTGCAGAGGAGTGAAGTATCTGAGTGAACAAATATATTGTGATTGCAAGGAGCTCACATGGCCAAAAGTCACCATACCAGGAATTCAGTAAATGAGGATTGGAGAGAATAGCAACATGTCCTGCTCACTACCCTGATACCACCCAACAATTCTGTCACCAGTAAGGGGCTGCTCTAGGCAGAGGGTGCTGCTGCTATGATCAAGAAATCAGAGAAGYGTGGAGTTCATTACCTAGGACAGATACAGGGCGAAGAAAGGCAGCTAAAGATTTCTCCCACAACAAAGGAAATATAGAAATAGTCCCATGATTTCAGCTCTTTCCTTATAATATCTGAATTTGCCAATTGGCAAAGCTGTACATAATTTCTAAAACAAAACCATATTACTAATCCAAAAGAATTTAGCATTTAAAATTTCAAACTACAACATGTCAAGAATTTTTAATCATCTAAACCAAAGAAAACAAAGATATTCTAGACCAGAAAACAAGTCTGATCTTTTAGCCTGCAGGCATTCCTGCTGTAGTAATAATAAATTTAACAGACACTCTGACAAAAGTGACTGTTTATTGTACAAGCTGGAAYGGCTAAGGCCAAACTCCAAAATCTGACAAGGTAAAAGGTAATTAAAATTGGGTTTTTTTAGACTTTTAGTCTTCAAATAAGGAGTCCTAAAAATCAAGCTGTGGTTCACACACCTTCCAAAGTGCTGAACTCAATCAAATAAACAAACATCCAGAAATCATGTRAGTACACTGAGGACTCTAAGTGTGATTAAAGAAGACTGTTGTATTCCTTTTATGATTACCAAAGTTTATCCTGAACTGTGGCAATGGCATCACACTGGAAAACATAATCTGCAAGAACCTGATACTGCAAAAACCTAGAAACAATTTAACTTCAGACTGAAGCAGCTCCAGCATGAMGCTCCATCCAGGATGATTCAGGTACTGGAGTTAAGCAAAACAGACAAATCTTTGCAGGATCAGGGTCACTGGGTTAAATGTGAGTTTATGTGAATAGCTGGCACAAACCCTCCTCACTGTTTAAGTTCAACATAAATTGTCAGGACAKGGTTCCCTGGGATAAGTAGTACAAAGGCCTCCAGCTGGCCTTCTGCATAGAGGTGAATTTTAAATAAGACAGAAATAACAGACAGAAAAGGACTAAAACAGACATAGGCAAGACAAATAGAAGATGCTGTCTTCATTCTGTTTMGGCATATGTATTCTACTGTTCTAAAAATGTTTTATTTAAAACGTGAAATGTAAACACATTCTCATGTTTATACTATTACAAGGCAGTATAAAAGAGACCAAAAAATTTGTAGCTAAATCTTAGTAAGAGAAATGTGGATCATTTCATGGCTGTGAAAAGAATAGTCCAGACAACGTGCCAGATTCCAATCTCAGTTACACTGATACGAATGCAGTGTACATTGAGACTAGTAGTTTGTTATATGTTTACATCAAAAAACTGAGATGGAGATGTAGCCCTATGTGATTTAGAAAAGTGAAGTGGTAACAGACTAGAAACCTCTAGATAAAAATTATAAAGTACTTCAATTTTGGTTTTATATAAATATTAACTAGACATTATATAGCACTGAAATCAGAATTCTTCACTGAAACATATGCAGAAGGAAGATCAGTATTTTTTTTTTCATTACTAATTATCTCCACTTTAAAAACAAAACAAACAAAAACCCTAAGTTTCTATACCAAAGGGAATGAATGGGATCCTTTAAACAACATAATGGCACCTAAGAAAAGGTTTYCTGCCCTTCTCACAAGAGGGCTGATCGGAGCATTAAGTACATGGGAAACCAGCACTTGCTGTTCTTTGACACTATGGCCAATTGGTCAATGAAATAACAACACAACTCTGTGCTGAATGTCTTAATATCTTAAAGTTGTATTAATCTGTTGTGAGTTTAGTTTGCTCAATTACTTTATCACAATACAACCAAATGATGCTCCTGCCACATCATGCACGTTTCCCTTCACCTATTTTGGTTTCTTACATACAGAATACAAAGAAGATGGAAGAAAAGGAAGAAAATAAGACTAATTACACGTTGTGGGCGTAAATGAACTGGTTCTTGGAGCTCCTTGGGTAGTGGGAGGAGGTGGCATGGTTGGAGGCGTCAGCCTGGATTGTGTCTTCACATCCACAGGTGAGTCTGGCATTGTGGAATGCTTCTCAGTGCGATCTGCAACACACACCACAGGAACACACCAGTTTATTTCCCCGACCACACCCCCTCTGAGAAAAACTTAAAAGCTAATGCAAGAAGTGAGTCATTTCAGCATCTGCTGTCAATGATAACACCTGATTATCTACTCCAGTGTGCTCTTCCCAAATAGCATCATCCAAAACCTTACTTAAGAAGGTGCAACACAGATGGTAAGACCTCATTTGTAGCAGCGCTGCATTATCTTTTGTTTTTATTTCTAGCATGTGCAGATGCTACCTCTCAAGCACTCCTGGAGCTGCAATAATGCCACCTCCCTTCAAGGYTCTTATGTTAGCCAGGAGGAAAAAACAGATGAAGAGACAGGAAGGTAATAAATCCCCTTATGACATCTCTTTCAGAAGTAAAACCTGATGCTCTTTAGTACAGGTGAAATATTGGGTGGAATATTGGTTGAAGCCTGCTCTCTTCATGTCTCTTCCTTGTATCACCTGCTACCCTCTCCTCTGCTTCACTTTGTAATCTTATGTTAATATTATGTCTTCTATTAAACTTATGTTAAATACACACACCTCCTGGATCATTTTACCACAATGCCCCTGGACATTCTCACATTCACCAGAAAAATAAACACAACATGCCAAAAYGGTAAGCCATCTCATATACATACAATTATTGTCAACTCAGTACGTTAAGTTTGCACCTTCACATATTAGGAAAAACTTTTAATGTTCAAAACCTGCAAGATAAGCAGGAACATACCTCCCCAAGAAAACAAAACAAACAAAAGGCAAAACCAGGAAGTTCACTCGCAACTAAAGATCTGAGGATACAACACATGTGATACAAAAGCTATAAAAGTGTACTCTTTTTTCCAACATCTTTTTGGATGACCCAGCATTTTTTTTTAACCATTCAAGACTTTATGTTTCATTTAGCACAAAAGCAAAAAATTTAGCACGAAAGCAAAATTTAGGCTTTCCCACTCATGCCAGGAGTTTAGCAAGCCATCTTGAGAAAAGATGAGTACAATGAAGTTTAGCTTTTAATGGGCATAAGTTAAATTCTTCCATCCCTTCTTCGGGGAGTCGGGGCTATTTATTTATACATGGCCTGACAGAGGTCTTCCTGAGCTCCACAAAACTATTTTGTCAAGCAAGTAAGTGTCGCTGTTAATGGGCAAGCATGTAAGTCTGTGGTTTTAATTCAAGACTCGTCACATTCCATAAATTCTGTCACTTCACTATGTGACATGATTCTTTGTTCTTAMTAACAACATACAAACTTCAATGAAAAAAATCATATCTGAAATTTGACAAGAGAGACAGTAACAGAAATTAAACGCAATGCACAGATTTAACAAAGAATGGGTATGTTTAAAAGAGCCTCAAAACACTTAATTATCAGAAAATTTAAATATGAGAAAGTTATGAAAAAAAAAAAAGCGGGGAAGAAGGGAAAGAAAACAAAAACACCCAAAAGTAACAACACATAACATATACCAATCTTTATCTGTCTGAAACTGAAGAAACAGAGGAAAGAAGTAGTAAGTCSCAGATGTGCAACGTGTCAGGTACTGCAATTATAGAAGCCATCTTCAACCCTTGTTGAAATGCCTACAGGCAGTGTAGGGAAAGGGAGTAATTTCATATAGAACTTAGAGGCAAGTTTGGGGAAGATGAACAGTGAAACACCCCCAGAATAGGATGAAGGGAATAGAGATATAAYTTTATAGGATCTGTAATGTTGATCTAAGGTTAGTAAACCTCAGCTGTGGAGGGAAGAGTATCCACAATGATTACCTTAAATATTAAGGYTGGTATACAGATAAGAGAAGTATGATTTGCAAATCAAGCAACAGTATATTATCACATGCTGGAAAACAAAAACTGATTTCTAAACAAATTCTATACATATTTCCTTTCCATATCACTATACTGGAACAGTTAAATCTCTATCTTCAACAAGCCATTAATTCAATATAAAGAACTATGAAAACTCGTCTTGAAATGTTAATTGCTTCCTTAATAGCTGAATTCATCTTGCACTCACCTCAACCAACCTCAGCAACAAGGGAATAAATAGCTTTCAGCTCATGTTGCAACAGAGGGAAAGAGGCACAGCAGTGAGCCCAAGCCCTCCTAAATAAAGGCAAATATTTCTCCCATGCCAAGAAAGGAGAGAGAAAGGGAGGCTTGCCAGAGCTGGTGGGGAGATAACAGTGGGAACTGCTGGTCCATCTGGTTTTCATTCTGCTAACACTCACATTGAACTGTTAAGGAAGGCAGTCCAGGTACACAGATTTGAAGCATGTGGGAGCGCAGACACAGGCACAGAGGAGATGGAGGTGGGTGGAGGAAGGAGTGAGAGAAATCGAGCTCCTCTAACAGACTGCTGCTCGCAGCGAGCAGGCACAGCCTGTATCCTCCAATTCAGCTGGTGATAACTAAAAGCGATCCTGAGCTGTAACCAACAGCACGGCTCTCGCTCCCTCCTTCACTGCATTTCAAAGTTCAGGTTTGATCAGAAACGCGTTCAGATCAGAACAGGGAGACTTTCCCAAAAAGCTGGCAATGTTTTGCTACTTAAATTGAATGTGGTAGTGRGAAATAGTGTGTTGGTTTTGCCCTTGAATTTCAGGTTGCCACTCTACTGTGATCCAAAKGATTTTTACTGCCTCCAACAGTTTGCCACCCAGTTTGCAGATTGCTARACTTATGCACAGACCCCTGTATTTCTCATCTAAATCTATTGACATTAGATTTGATTTTCCCAATTACCTTTCTTTGGACCATTTAGGTAGTGGCAAATACAAATACCCTTTAGTACCACTTACCTTTGCTTTACCTCTTCCTCTCCCTTGCAAAGCCCYAAACCCTACTCTCCCACTGCACGATCGCAGGCAGACAGATTTCTCTCTGATTGTCTCTAAGACTCTGATTCTCTCTAGGGAGTGAGAGACTCCCTAAGTCTTGCCTTCTTTAATGAGATTAAGGCTCTTTTCAAGCACACCTCAAAACATTTCTTACCAGAGTAGATTATTTTTTCAGAACAGAGATACTCTATGGCAGCAGGCAAAAAGTGCTTTTGAAGAAGTACAATGAAAAATGCAAAGCTCTTCCATATGGTTGGAAGACACCATCACACCACCYAGTAGAAAAGCCTTTACATCCCTCTACTCCACCGTCTTATATAACAAAGCCCCTGTGGGAGCCATTCTTTTCTTACTGCTACTGTTTACCTGTTCCTTACCTTTTCCTATGGCTCTCTGAACTCTGAGGGAGCAATGGGACTGGGAGCACTGATCTGTAGAGCTTTGCACCCACMACTGTCCCACCTCCCACAGCCTCAGAGAACCTCAGCAACTCTTCTAAGACACAAATCACTCAGGGGATGAAGCAGTGATGGAGCACGAAGCAGAGCCACCACTGATCAAAGTGTTAACAGTTCTTGTGGTTCAAACTCCTAAAGCCGTTGGTGTCTGAGACTTAGCCTGTAACTCCAGCTTCTATACATCTTTTCTTTTTTTTTTAAATTAGTAAAACCAATAAACCTAACAACCAACACATTTTACTGTAATGGTTGAAAAATARACTGATGATATGAAAGCTAAAGACAAAATGGTATTTAAATCATATTCACAAGCCAATTTCCTTTAAGTCATGTTATTTCATGAGGCTTTTTATGTACAGACATTTTTCATACAAACTCTCAGTGGATATTCTGCTATTTGTACATTCAGAGGTAATGAGGGCTTGGTAGGGGAAGAAAGAATCCCTCAAGAGGAAAAGCTCTAATTCTTACATATCAAAACCTGCATGTGTAAGATTCCATGTATATTTGCTCCAGTTTTACAATATAGGGACATATACACTGAATTTTGCCTTAAATTTGGAAGAACTTCCACCATGTCTTACAATTTCTCAATTGCTTGCATTCAAAAACATATTTATGCTCTTTAGTCAAACCAAACTCCCCATTTGCAAAGCTAGTTCTGACTATCTTTTTCTTCAGATGGACCCTGACATTTTAAACAATAATCCTGAATTAGGAGAGACACACCAGAAAGTTTCATCCAGCAGCATCCCACAGCATCACACATTGCAGAGCATAGCTTGTCTACACAGAGGGAGTAACTTCTTTCAGGTGCAACRATTTCTTCCACTGAATCCCTTTAAACAATGACAGACCTGCGCTCCTTAGCCCAATTCAGATCAAATGGGGCTGAAACCAGAGGTCCTCCMAACTGGAAGGAAAAGGAGACATCTGCAACTCATTCTGTAGTGTTCACTGCAATCAGTTCAGGATGGAGCAAGATGGTGAAATAATGGTCTAGTCCTAATCCATACACACAACCCTCTGGAGCAGCAAGAGACTTAGAATAAATTCAGAAAATATGTTTCAAGTATGCAGAGATCTATTGCATTTGCTTTGGATTATATTTTTTATTTAAAAACAAAACCAAGCAAAACATTTTGAAATACACATTCTTGAATCTCCTTTACAGCACAGAGTGAAGAACTCTGATTTAACCACTGAAATATTTTGCTTCATTTAAAATTAAAGAATGCTGTAAAACCAACTTTAAATTACGATATTTCTTCTGTACATTTCTTAGTTCATGGAATTATACTGTTCTTGYCATTCATTCAGTTTTTATGGTAGAGGTTATTTTTATCACTATATTTAGCTGTCAGGTGAACACTGATATTTACCATAAGCACAGCCAGGTTCTGAAGTTCTAGACAAAACATGCTGGGGCAAAGAGAGATGAGCCCGTATTCAAACTGATTTGCTTTACTTCCTGTACCATACAAGATTTAGYCCATTTTTAAAACAAGGCGGTCTTTTATAAATGGCAACATTTCAGCTCACATGGCACACTTCCAAGTCTAACGCATCAAGGAAAGCTGATGTATGGAACAAAATATGGAATATATAAATACTTTACTGATACCATTTCAATAGCCAATTCAATGTCAAGCATTTCTAGGAGTGGTGTGTTTTCAATTTCCTTT